ACCCTGAACCTGACCCTGAACCTGACCTGACCTGACCCTGAACCTGACCCTGAACCTGACCCTGAACCTGACCTGACCTGACCCTGAACCTGACCCTGAACCTGACCTGACCTGACCCTGAACCTGACCCTGAACCTGACCCTGAACCTGACCCTGAACCTGAACCTGAACCTGACCCTGAACCTGAACCTGAACCTGACCCTGAACCTGACCCTGAACCTGACCTGACCTGACCCTGACCCTGAACCTGAACCTGACCCTGAACCTGACCCTGACCCTGACCCTGACCCTGAATCTGAACCTGAACCTGAACCTGACCCTGAACCTGACCCTGAACTGAGACACAGTGACTGTCTCACCTGCCGGAGGGTGGGTCTAACAGACGTATCTTCCTGTGGTCTGGAGGTCTGGAGAAGAAGACTCAGGTCCTGCATCCGGAGGAGAAGAAGACGGTGGCGTATCACGAGGCGGGTCACGCTGTGGCCGGGTGGTTCCTGGAACATGCAGACCCCCTGCTCAAGGTCTGGGTTGTAGTTTTTCTTTGGTTCTGGCACAGTGATGCTGGTCTTCATCAGACCTGTCCTCTTCTGTGCAGGTGTCCATCATTCCTCGGGGGAAGGGCTTGGGTTACGCTCAGTACCTGCCCAAAGAGCAGTACCTGTACACCAAGGACCAGCTGATGGACCGCATGTGCATGACTCTGGGGGGCCGGGTCTCCGAGGAGATCTTCTTTGGACGGATCACCACCGGAGCACAAGACGACCTGCGGAAGGTCACGCAGAGCGCCTACGCTCAGGTGAGTCATCTGATGGACCGATGAAGACAGGTTAGGTTCTGCTCCGTTTCACCTGCAGTTCTGTGTTCTCCCACAGATTGTTCAGTTTGGGATGAACCCAAAGGTGGGCCAGGTGTCCTTTGACCTGCCTCGGCAGGGCGAGATGGTTCTGGAGAAACCATACAGTGAAGCCACGGCCCGTCTCATTGACACTGAGGTCCGAGTCCTGATCAGTGAGGCGTACCAGAGAACCCAACAACTGCTGAACGACAAAAAGGCCGAGGTGGAGAAGGTACCGTATCCATCTGGGTTCTGCTCCATTTACAGACCTGAAGAACCAGAACCATCCAGGCTTTTGTTTGAAGACAACCAAGAACCCTGGTCCAGGAAGATTCTGGTCCAGGAAGATTCTGTTCCATTAGTGCAGGTTCTGAGTAACAAGAACCCTTAGGTCTGATGGTTACTGACTCACAGCAGGGCAGAACCTTCTCACTGTGGGTCAGAACCTTCTCACTGCAGGGCAGAACCTTCTCACTGTGGGTCAGAACCTTCTCACAGCAGGTCAGAACCTTCTCACTGTGAGTCAGAACCTTCTCACTGTGGGTCAGAACCTTCTCACTGTGGGTCACAACCTTCTCACTGTGGGTCAGAACCTTCTCACTGTGGGTCACAACCTTCTCACAGTAGGTCAGAACCTTCTCACAGCAGGTCAGAACCTTCTCACAGCAGGTCAGAACCTTCTCACTGTGGGTCACAACCTTCTCACTGTGGGTCAGAACCTTCTCACAGCAGGTCAGAACCTTCTCACTGTGGGTCACAACCTTCTCACTGTGGGTCAGAACCTTCTCACAGCAGGTCAGAACCTTCTCACTGTGGGTCAGAACCTTCTCACAGTAGGTCAGAACCTTCTCACTGTGGGTCACAACCTTCTCACAGCAGGTCAGAACCTTCTCACTGC